CCAAACTTTATATTTTTACTATTCATGCCCTAAAATAGACTTCAGTGTTTAACTTTCTTTTAAACTCTATTCAACTATAATTTACATGTGATAAAATGTACCCATTTTAAGTGCATGGGTCAATGAGTTTGACAAATGTATTCACGCATGTAACCAGAGTAACAGTCGAGACACAGAACATTTCTATCACTCTAAAAAGGTCCTCCATGCCCCTTGCAGTTAATCCTCTCTCCCTCACTTAAGGCCCTGAACCACTGATCTACTTTCTGTTGCATTCTTGCTTATTTTAGAATTTCATATAAATAGAATCATATAGTGTTTTGGAGATAAATTCATTTTGTTACACATATTAGTACTCCATTCCTTTTTATTGCTGAGTGGTATTGTGCGCGGATGTGCCACAATCTGATTATTTATTTTTGGTGTTAAACTTTAAGAGGACCACACTAAGTTGCAGAGAAGTAGGGAAGGGAAGAACCAAAACAACAAAGTGGACAGAAAAATACTTATAACTGATGCTGCAATCATACCACAATGTAAAATGACTATTAGGAGAATTGTTGTAACTCCATCTAGTCTGACAAACTAGGAAAAATAACCTTAAACATTTTATGAACTGAAAGAATTTCACGTAAAAGTGCTATGATGGATAGCACTCTCTAGTGGAAAGAGGTACCACTATTTGCAACACAACTTGAATCCAGTATGGGAGACAAAACTAGCTTTTATATACAACTCTGCTCCAAAAACTAGAACTGGGGAACACCTCACATGTGGTGAAAATTGGTAATTGGTAATGCCTTAGCATTTTTAAATAACCCAAGTCAAACTTTGGAAGGACTATATGAATTCATTTGATGATTAATTCTTTCAAACTTTAAAACACTTTCAGAAGATCAGAAATGGCAAATGTTCTTGGACAAAAAAAAGTTCAAGTGAAGCAGCTTGGTAGATCATGTTCTGGAAAATAAAGATAGCTTAACTTTCTTTTGGCCATTTAGTAAACTGACTATGCTAGAACATACTATCCTCATAATTTTTGACGATTTGAATTTTTCAGAAGCACTTTCAGATATAAAGTTATGATAATTCCTATTTTTCAGACACAAAAACATTAACTGACTTGCTTAAAGGGTGCATAAGCCAGCCAACTACACTATTCCTAAGCTTATCTGGAAGCAGAACAGAGACCAGTAAGTCTTCAATATACTTATGGCAAGGTGCTAAAATTTTGCCTTATTGGTTCTAAATGAAAACTGTACAGCTTTCATAAACAAATACAGTATTTTGTAGAATTGAGTTTTCTAGCGTTCTACTGGTCAAGCAAGGAGTATTTCAATACAAGAGGATACGCAGTAGGTGTAAACCTACAATTTACTGAAAACCAATTAAAACACATGTACAAGGGTATACACACACACGCACACACCCCCTCCTCTTTCCCAGGATCTGTAATGCAGCAAAACTGTATTTATAATTTATTTTTATGATGTCACTTTGAGAAAAAAACCAAAAAAGTCAATTGTCAGATTAAAATATTCTTATCCACAAAGACTTTGTGTAATGAAGTTACATATAAATGTAAACATACTACTTTTCTCAAAGCTCTTGAACTTATTATGGTATAAGATTATATGTACTTGTTTCTATAATCTTTAATCCTTTGGATAAAGGTGAAACTGGCAGTTAGTATTGTCCTCTTAAAAAATTCTAATTGATTTGTTCTACAATCCAGATGTGTCTTAAACACACACACACACACACACACACACACACACTCTCACACTCACTCTCCTAACAAAAACCTGATTTATTCAAAGTCCAGGGTTTCACCTTCTAAAAAGAAAAAAAAAATGGGTTCTTTTGCAAGTGCTGCTTTTGAAATGTGAAATAATTAAGGCGTTTATATATCTTGTAAGCCTGGATTTTTAAAATATAACAACATTTTATGAGCAAGAGTGAGACCCCATCTCTACTAAAAACAGAAAAATTAGCTGGGCGTCATGGCATGTGCCTGTGGGCCCAGCTACTTGGGAGGCTGAGGCAGGAGGATCGCTTGAGCCCAGGAGTTTGAGGTTGCTGTGAGCTAGGCTGATGCCACAGCACTCTAGCCAGGGCAACAGAGTAAGACTCTGTCTCAAAAAAACAAGACAAAACAAAACAAAAAAACCCACAACATTTTAAAAGAATTAACAGAAGAGGGGTGACAAAAGACTTAGATATTTTACTTACTGAACCCTTATTTATGTAAAAATAGTTAAGGTGCTTTTGGGTGCCTTCTACTTATGATTTACTTTTCTTACCTACTTAAATTTTATAAATTTGAAAATGTATTTCTCAATAAGACTATTATGAAATGATGCCAATTTTATCATTCTGTAAGAAAAATGAGCTCTATTAACATGTCTGCCTACTTATATAAACAAGTCACCAAAGGCAGACCACTACCAATACAGGAATGGTTTTTATCCTTAATTTTGTTAAGTTACTTAAAAAGTAGCAACAGACAACTAGACACGCTACATATTCACTGTCATATTTTTTCCTTCGATTTCCTACATAATATATGTTACTATGCATGCTAATCTTCTATATGGCATATATAAATATATCAGACCTATTACATAGTCCTACAATGGAAATATGGCTTCTCTCACCACAATAAGTATTCTAGCAATGCCATAATTAAGTGTGCCAATTCCTTAAAGATTCCTTCTGTTATATAAGAAGTCAAGGCAAACATCAATGTCAATATATTTGATAAGGCTATGTGACAATCAGGCATGAATGGAAGGAATTATAGAGGTTGATCTAAGATCTTTATTCTGTGAATAATTCAAATATATGACTGTTTTTATCTTCTAATTTATATATTCATTTCAAAGTGACATTAAAAAACGACCTAGTTGACACATCTATTTTAATGTCCAACAACCCTTTTTTTGAGCACCCCGCTTTAGTTATTTTTTAAAAAGTCTCTGGGAGCTATCTCCTACCCCTTCTCCATGTGGCACTGATGAAACTGTCATTCACTGTATACTCCTACGATACGAGCAGGCCAATCGCCACTCTACCTCCACCATCACCCCCTGTCCTCCAACAT